CGCTATTTACTTCCCAACAGATATCATGTCTATCTAATGCAAACGATAGTACAAGTTGATTTTTGTAAATACAGCTATAGCTTCGGATTTGACGGAAAAAACTTCGATCACTTAAATATTTGACTAGACACTCGAAGCATGGAAACATGCTTGCAAGGTCGGTACACATTTCAGGTGTCACTTTGGATTTTATAGTATCTGTATGCTTCTGTTTATTTGTGTTTTTATTTTGTTTTGTAGTTTGAACGCTTCAATTATGTATTTAGAGCCATGTGGTCACATCCATGCCATTCCCCTTAGCTGCATTGAATATTTACTAAACTACACTGAGAATCAAATAAGTCTATAAATGTTGGATTCATCACATTCAATTAATAAGCATGCAGAAGAAATTTTTCGGTCATGAGTAACTAAGTTGATAAATTAGAACAATGCTTGTTTTTGAAGTTGATACTCAGAACACCCATAAAAATCATAGTTTTGAACTAGGTACGTACAAGTTAAAAAGAACCCCGACCCTTCTGCGGTGAGTTTCAAGAAGTGAAGTAAGCATAGCTTATATGTCCAAGAAGTGTATGACAAGTGTTTTAAATTAAAGCACGTATTATATAAGTGTGTACATACATAAACAAATGTATGCATGTGTCCAAGGAGTGTCCAAAGGAGAGTCTGTGTCGATACGGTATGCATCGAGTAGGGTGACAGATTGATAATAGAAGTAACCATGCAACATAAGCCAGCAACGAGGTTTGATAGGGGGAGATGATTCCTTCAGGACTTGCGATTAAAGCATGCTTTTCGTAACAAGGGGGGTTTTACACTTCCTACCGTAATAGGTACCAGTGAAAACATATCGGTTCGGGTTGGTTATGTAACATATGGATTTGTATTGGAATCCACCTTGCTGGTGAATGGTTATTGTATGTACGAAGAGTAAACCTCATTCTATCAGTGATTTCTTTTCTTTTCTTTTCTTTTTTCCAATCAGTGGATTAACAGACCATTAATTTCATCGTCACTTCTTATCTGTCAGTGATATCTGTTCATGGGAGACATGAATTAATTGTCTATACAGTTCAGATGACATGCTTTCAGATTTAAATTTTGGCATTACTGTTGGTTTGTCTGTTATTTCTGTTGCCTTTCCAGACGACGACCTCATTGAAACGAGGTGATAAGCAACTTCAGCAATTCAAAATGGTGAACTGCTGAGAAAAAGAATTTCCACATGATAGGAGCATCGTCTCTCTTGCCTGCCGCAGGGGGGTTGCATCGTCTTATATTTACAAGTTGAGATTATACACGAAAAAAGAAGGCGGTGCTTTCGTTGATTCCAGGTCCAGAATCCTTTCTATACATCTTTAAACTGTCTGCATATACCCATCCAGTATCATCCTAAAATGAACCTATGTCACACAGAATTCTTTTTATGCGTCTATTTCTGACCTTGCTCATGTCAATTGCAACCTTTCTTGTTTTCTCACATCAATTCGAGTGTAATCTTTCAGTTTTTTTTAACTTATATACCGGAGAAACATTGTGATGCCTATAACATACATCTTTTCTTTTGAGAAATAAATGTGTTGGAGATAAATTTACAGGACATAAAACTCTGTGAATTTATATAGTTTCCAGTTAAGGTAAACTTGGACTAGAAGAGGAAACATGGAACCTAAAATAAATTTTCCTGACACACCATTAAAAGACTTTACATAGAAACTCTTTCGTCGTCTTCGGGAGGATTCGGGCAGTGCAAATACGCATTCCTGACGTTATTAACGCGAGGATCACACCTATACGTGTACCTCTTTGCACAGTACAAATAAATCAAGAACGACACCCCTCCATGAGCAAAAAGAAACCAGTAAAAGAGATCCAATCGACTCCGGTTCAGCGTGTCCCCCTCTAACCATCCTCTTCCCTCTGCACCGTGCCTTGTGACTTTGTTCACTATGTCAACTTGGAACGTACCCATCAAAGAGCCCAACCCTAGAGTGCACCAAAATAATGCGCTCGCAAAGGATTTTATTCCTCCAGAGGCCTCACTGTTAAAAAACTCCAATAAACCTGCAAATGTGGTTGCGTTGTTTATTCCGATAAAAAGGATCTGCGCTGTCAACCAGAGCACAGACATTGTAACACCGGTGCCTGGGTCTTCTAATCCTTTTTCTCCTACGATTTCCAGTCTCTTTCGCTCTACGATGGCTGCAACGCCGGTGGCTGCTGTTAATGCCACATGACCAATACCAATGCGTTGTAAGGGAGTTATACCCCTGGAGTAGCCCGTGATCCTTCTAGCGAAGGGTACAAAGAACCGATCGTAGACTACAAGGATCACCATCTGAAAAGCTGTGGGGATTACAAATAGAGTAGCAGGTGAGATGTGGATCTTCCCTACTTTGGTGTTCATAGTATTTCCTTGTTGCACTGAGAAGCTAATGAGAAGGAACAAAGGAGTGTAGTTGAGCACACAGATCAAGAATATTGGCACCATCCGAAGGAGGATCTTTGTCTCCTCCACCTGACTTGGAGTGCATAATGACCAAGCTCCAGACTTCCCTTGATCTATACAAGCTTTGTCAAGGAACCTGGCAGAACAAATATATCGTAAGTTTCTGAAATCGTACCGGATAGTTATAGTTTTCCTCGAGGTTTCATTTTCTATTTCATACCTCAAACACTTAGAATGAGAAGGCTTTTCCCTATCAAGTGCCTCTTCCTCCTCTTCCTGCTGTAATTCTTTTAGTGTTTCAGGCCTAGCGAGGTTTCTCTTTCTGAATGCTGCTACAAAAACCTTTAAAAGGAAAAGCCTAAATCCACTGAAAACAGAGTTTAAGAGAAAAAAAAATTTCAGAATGGGGTAAATATCAACTCTTTCTACCTGTAAAATTCGAGTTAGAGGGCTTCCTTTCGGTTTCTGGTTACGGTATAATGGGAAACCACTAGCTAGAACCAAGAGTCCTATGAGAAACAAAAGCGCCGAGACTCCAAAGCTATAATCCCATCCCTTATTGTTTTCAAGCCACACTATGAGAATTAGACCAGTGAAACCTCCCACAGAGATGCCAAAGGTGAACCAATTGAAGAAGCTCGACTGGAGCCGAGACTCAACTGGGTCTTTGCTATCGAACTGGTCTCCCCCAAATGATGCTAAGCATGCTTTCATGCAACCCTCTCCAACAGCAACTGTGTAGAGTCCTATGTAGAGGAGAACCAAGTTAGAGCCGCGGACTTGCTGGCAATCATTTAGTTGGCCTGATGTTTCGCAAGGCGGGGGATGGAGCGAGGGACAATATGCTTGTAGCGCCAGCAATCCATACCCCTGCAAGAGATATATGAACATATATATTAGCGTTCGTTGGAGTCAAAATAAAGTCAAGAATTTAAATAAAGTTCAGAATATGTTCTAGTTTCATATATTCACATAACTCAACATAAACATTAACAAATCAAGTACGGGATTCTACGTGTTAATATTCTATCAAGAAAAAATGTTGATAAGTGGATGGATTGAGAGGTAAAGATATTTACCAAGATCTCCAAGGGACCAAAAACAAGCATGGTTTTGAATCTACTGATGTGAGAGTCTGATAAGAATGCTCCCAACAGAGTAAAAGCATATGAGAAGCCAGCGAAATTTGTGGTCATGGTTGAAGATTTCGCAACTCCTGTGTGCATGGTGTTATGAAGGTAACTCACCAAGTTAAATGAGGTTGGGATGTAAGCAGTGGTTGTCATCGTCACCATCACTGCAAAATTAATGAACGGAGAGTTAAGTCTTCAACAAAACACATGCTCCCCATTTGCCCTAGCCTTAAATTTAAATTTAATTCATTTCTTGTGATCATCCATATTAGGCCTATTGTTATTATCAATTATGTTGCTTTAATGGAATGTAACATATAAAATTTAAAATGAGCTAAATTAAAGTATCCGAGTATAGTTTCTAACTTTCGATGCGTGTCTGTTCTCTCATACTATGCATCTTCTGTCATCAGGCCCATTTTGATCAAATACAAAATAGAGCATTTTGGCTAGGCTTGCTTTCTAACTAACGATTATTTTTCTCGTCGATTCTACATTCAGAACGAAAACAATTAAGTCAAAATAGCTGGTAGATCATAGAGAAATAGAAAACTAATCAGTAGAACACATGCAGCTCATCTGGATTATAAAACTCACATTGCGTGAAGAAAGCAGCTCTAACTCCCCCGTGCTTTTTCTTGTCAATGGGATTTCCTCTCCAATCAACAAAGCTCTGGGTTTCCATAGTGGTGTATATCACTGTATCACAGTTCTGGTCTTTTCTCAAAATTCTGTTGTTTTAGGGTTATATTGCTCATAATTTTACAAGCTGCTAGTAGTATCCATGCCTTATTTATAGAAGCTTTGACATCAAAAGTGTCTTATCTTTGAAAATGTTGATGATTAAACAATATCTCAATGATTGGCCTGCAAACCTCACATTTTCCTTATACTATATTTCTTCTGCCTGTATATGGATCTGCACAACTCCTCGTCTTCAATATCGATAGCTGGTTAGCTAATGAGCTGTGAAGACAAAATTATTTTCTTCCTACTTAATTATTTAGACAGGAAGTTTATCATGCACTGCTGACTAATCAGGACCATCAACTGGCGCAACTGGTACAAAAGGGAGTTTAATTTCTGTTTTTTCCTTAATTAAACCTCACAGTTCTCGGATTTGACTTATATACTATTATATTTTTCACACTAGGCATAAGAATACAGCCTGTCATTATTTAAAACAACAAGTGGGTTTAATAATTTTTTAACAATCATTTATATCTCCCGCATCATCTCAGACTAGCCCATTTATGAGTATCTACCAGAGACTTGTTTGAATCATTCCTTTGATTTGGATTACTTGTGTAAAGTCAAGCAACAAGTGCCCAACTAGCGCCTTAACTATTCTTAATCGGGGACAGTTCTTCTCTCCTCATTCCATATTTTGGTGAGTAGGTCCAATATCGCGGCTGGGTTTGATTTGCTCAAGTTTCTTCAGTCCCTTGCCCCTTGTGCTTTCGTTGTTGTTGCCTTGTTAATCTATGTCACCAACAAGGTCAATGTTCATGTCCACTTCTATGTGATGCTAGTTTTCCTTTCCGAAAACTTATCCATGTCCAAACTCATATTCATCTATGTCTGAGCTGAGTCGTCCACAGCTTGTGCGTGTTTTTGTACCTAAGAGGCGCCTGAAGTTGTGGGCTGATTGGTGTTTTCCTTGTTGTGCGGTATCACTGGAAGAACGTCGATCATATGCATCTTGAGTTGCACATGATGCTTTCGAGGCAACTGTTTCGTGAGAATGCTTCAAGAATGAGTTCGAGGCTGAAATTTCTTATTGGGAAGAATCACGAGCTAAGTATCGCTTTTATCATGTCCATAGCTTATGTTTATCTCTGTATTATTGTTTGTATCCTATGTAGTTTGAACCCTTCTATAATGGTATTATATCAAGAGTGTTCATGCCTGTGCTTACTAGTTATAGTAATGAAACTACGCTACGCATCACATTCGTCAACAAATGTTGGGTTCATTTCAATCTGCAATATGCAGAATAAACATGCAGAAAAAGGTGAGGGGGGGGGGGGGGGGGGGGGGGGGTTATACAGCAATACGGTTTGAAACAGGGTTATTTGTACTAGAATATAGGAGCGTGAACTCTACTGGGGTCATGTTAAATTCATGTAAGATTTGGACTCGTATTGAAATTATATCATGCTTTCCTGGAGCCTCTTCTTATTTCCCTTTCATCATCAATATTTTTTTTCATTGGATTTTTCTTTTATCCTATAAAATAAAAATTTGTCAGTAATAAACAAGATTTTACTGGTTGACAGTGTTGTTCTATTAAATGAGACAGTAGGTCCAGATGATGATCATGATGTAAAATGCAACATCACCCTCTAATACTATTAAACTAGGGGGACGGTGGGTACACCCTTTTTATTTATTTTTTATTTATTTTTTTATTTTATTTTATTTTTATTTTTATTTTATTTTTTTGAGATTCTGATGGGGTGATTCATTAACTTCTCATACACAAAAAAAGGGGGAAATCAGAGTTTAAAGCAAAAAAGATTTCTTGTTAGTGCTTCAGTAAACAAAAAATATAACAATATTGACAGATAGAAATTTAAAGATAAAACAGCATGTTATGAAAGTCGAATAGTATCGATATCTCAATTTCATGGAACAGCTGAAAAAGGTGTTCATAGATTCAGCTAGAGACTTGCTAGCTTACCCACATCATCAGAACTCGGTACATGTTGGAAAATCACAACGAACTTGATGGAAGATACAATAAGGATATCCTACCTACATAAAGTTGACATCATAGACAAATGAGTACAAGTAAATGCAGCGAAACACAAAATTAAGCTCCCTGCATATCAACATCAATGTCCTGTGGTGTCACCCAAAAGAAAAAGGGAAGCCATTAATTTTGTTTGTTACAAAAATTTGATGAAAATTTGTGTATAAAAGGCAACCTGCAGATCAGCTTAGCTACCAAATGGATAATCTGATGCCGTTCTCTTTTGAATTATGTACTCACAGCTGGTTATCAGTTCATAATTGAATGCTACTCCATGTGCCCTTCCACCAATCTGCCACTGTAGTATCTGTGAATGACCATATTCGACCTCCTCGAGTATCTCATCCACGTATATGATCCAGCACTTTAAGCTCTCAGATAAGTATCAAAGAATAAGGATCTGATGTTCTGCTCGTATAGAATATACTCCCATCCCAGTACGGAGCTTCAGCCTCCATGCCTTCAACAATTAACAGAACCTGAAAATGTCACAGGGTTTTTATGTAAGGAAACATACCCCAATTCGTTTCCCATATAAATTCATTCATAGCTTTGTTTGTTACCTTGCTAATGTAGAAAATATATAACATGAGGGGAGGAAAATAAGATCCAGGCTCAGTGTATGATACTAGTAAGTAGGATCCTGAACTTAATTAAGCAAAGAAAAAAGATATTTTAAGGTATGGCATAGGGAAAGGTGTGGAAATACTAAACAGGATAAAGTAGCTATCTCTAAGCTCTTGATAGGCCTGAAGCTAAAGAGGAGTTGACTGGTTTACACAATACTGAATTCGGATTTGGGAAGTGAATTTAGTTAAAAAAGGTCAGCTGGAAAATGAATCTAGAGTTTGAAAGGCTGGAAAAAGATGATCGTGGAACTGAGCACCTTTGTGCTAATTACAAAAAAGTAAGCATTTTCCCCCCTTGGTTGCAGTAGGTATAAGTTTGCATGTTCTGACAAGGATATCGTGAAAGATGAACTTACGTTTCAGAAGAATCTTATGGCTTCTATTGATTTGAGGGTCTTGAGGCCTCGTTGTCAAAAGAGTCATCGACACTAATGTTTTGGACAATCAGCACACTGTAAATAAGTTCTGTAGGGCAGTGCATGATATGTGTTGCTAAATTTTCTAAAGGAAAGCCATCAGCATCTCAACCAAAAGGGAGCAATATTATCACACAAGATTTTATGCCTCGGCCCTTGGTGTAAGGAAGCGATCTTTCTTAGCAATGGCATTATGCTACACGATTTCACCACTACACAATTTAAGACATGCACATAGTTTGTAATATTGCATTATATGCAAGAAAAGTACGATGCTGCTATACAAGTATATAAATGTGTAATGAAAGTGATCATCGTCATTTGTTCTGATAAACATTAGCTGAAAACATTACTGTTTCTAAAACCCATCTTCTCTTACCTGATAAAGGTCAAGCTCGACCACCGTTATCCATCTTTTCAAGGAGTTCCTGAGCTACCTTCCACCCCCCGCACTTCTTAAATGCACGTTGAATTGTATCTCTTGCATAAATTGGCAGCTGAAATCCCTTAGCAAGCATAGAGTTCAATCCATCACAAGCAGCCTCTAATCTTCCAGCTTTACAATGGCCACATACATTCTGAATCGCCATTTTTCTCTCTAGTTTCAATGACAAATCAGACCTCCCATTTTTATTCAAAAGACCGTCTACCAATTTGTAAGTATCTACATGAGGATTCCATCCTAGCTCTATCATTTCTATCAACAACCGATAAGCTAATTCCCAATTTTGAATCACACAGTAAGCATTGATCAGCATAGTGTAAGTTCCACAATTTGGCTCGCACCTTCTCTTGTTCATAATTTCAAAGTATTTTCCTGCCTCATCAACATTTCCTAACTTACAATACACACAAATGATTGAATTATATACTGAAACCTTTGGCTTCAATCCCAATATCACCATTCTTTCAAACAAATTACAAGCTTCATGTACTCTACGAACCTCACAAAGTGCTATTATCACTATAGAGTAACTGTCATGAACGCATCTCAACTTCCTATTTTCTACCACCTTCACAGTTTCAACTGCTTCATCAAATTTTCCCACCCGACAAAGCTCTGAGATAAGCCCATTCACGATATGAGCACTAGGCATCAGACCCAACTTCAAAATCGCCCAAAATGCTCTAAATGCAGGTTCAATACTAAACTTTACCCTAACATTTGGAACCAATATATCAAATGGCCTTCGCACATTAGTAACTCGAACTTTCTCAACCATCCGACTCCTGCTCGACATCTCACACAAACTCCCTACAAGAACATTAGCCGCACTTTTTGTAGGCACCAAATTACCCCGACTCATTTGATGAAAAACCTCAAATGCATTCTCCAACCTCCCAAACTTACACAACCCAATAATAATATTACTATACGAATACTCATCAGGATGCTGAATCTTTCTAAAGATCAAGAGAGCAATATCGAGATAATTCTCCGATAAATCCTTCTTACACAATACATAAAGCACATTATTGAACACTAAATTATCCGGGCAACAACCAAACTCCAATTCCATCATCTCAAACAGAGCAAGTGCATCCAATACCCTCCCTTGCCTCCCTAAAAACCTAATACAAATAGCTACCGCTCTAGTCGAAACTCTACCTTTATTAGACGAAACCGCTCTCAAAAGACATTTCACATCATCGAAAAGCTTCCTGCGGCCGAGGAAATCGGCCATGAACTCGACGACACTGTCGTCGAATCGGAATTCTAGCTGGAACCCAGCCCAAGAGAAGAACTCCAGGGTCCTGGGTCGCCCTAAAATCTTGTAATTGTTGAGGATTTCCAGTACTAGGGCTGAATTCAGCTGGGGTTTGAAGTCTTTGAGGAGAGTATCGAGATTTGAGGAAGGATTTGGGGGTTGAGAGAGTAGAGAGAGGATCAGTTGGGTGTTAGGGTTTGATGAAGATCTGGGTGGGATCGGATTGGGACTGTAAATGTGGAGAGCGTTGGCGGGGCCTTTGGTTAGGGTTTTTAGGGCTCGGTTAGGGTTAGGGTTAGGGTTTGAGGAGAATGGGGAGGATTGGAGGAGATTAATGGCGAGAGAGAGGGAGGGAAGAGGGTGGGGTTTTTGTCTTTTGAGCATTGGAGGGAGGGAGAGAGAATGGTTTTTATTCAGGTTTTTCTTACTTTGGAGGGTTATATTTCACTTTCATAACCCCAAAGTTTATCTATTTTTGCACTTTACTCCAAAAGTATTTTTTTTTCCACATTTAGAAACTCCAAATTTTCAATTTTATGTCACTTTGATACCGTGTTCCTGGATTCCCGTTAGATTTTCTGTTAATTCGTGATGATGGTTAGAACCAAGGTAAAATGGATCTAAATGTATCTCATGTTTTGGTGTGATACTAATGGTGTGATACTAATGTTGATCGGAAAATTGATTTCTTTGATGAGTCCATTACAACTTTGAACGCTTACAATAAACTCAAAAAAAATAGCCTTTTTATAAGACTTTAAATTGAAAATTATAACTTTCTCTCAAACTACACGCAATAAATGTTTATCGCCTATTGCTTGTGCGGGATCGTTGCCGGTGCCGGGGTTTATCTGTGGACCGCCTACGGATCAGATCCGGTTAGCAGAAGTTGGATAATCAATGCTTTCACTTTACGAAGGAAATGATTACATCAGCGGTGATTTTGACAAAGCAAAATCACGGCTCTTCTCGAGATTTAAGACTAAGCTTAAATCCGGAGGAATACAGAATGAGTCTCAGATCTCTCGAACTCTCACTTTATTGAAGAACTCCGCCAAGATCTGCTAACTCTCTGAAATTCGTGCTCCAATCTTCAATTTGACAGCACCTCGTCCTCTTAATTTTCAGATGAATTCCGCCAAGAATCAGTGTGCTTTTTGTAAAGATGATGGACATTGAAAAGCTGAATGCCCAAAGTTAGATCGAGCTGAGAAGAATAAGAGGAAAGCTGTACAAGCTTCAGAGTTGAATGTTGTCAAGACTGGTGGTAACAATTCAGATTCGGATTCTTCAGGCTATTCGTTATCCGCACTACCGTCAGTTTGTATTGCCAACTCTACAGAATGGATATTAGATTCGGGTGCTTCTTACCACGTTTGCCCTTGGAGGGATTGGTTCTCCAGCTTTCAGAAGTTGGAAAGAGAGGATGTTGTGCTCATGGGTAATGGACATGCATACTCTATTGATGGTATTGGTATCATTCGGATTAAGATAAGTGACGGGGTGATTCGGGAGTTGAATGAAGTGACGTTCGTTCCGCAATTGAAGATGAACATCATTTCAATTGGAACTTTGGAGGCAGCAGGCTATAGGGTGACCTTGGTGGACGCACGCTTGAAGGTCACATTGAGATCTATGATTGTGATGAAGGGCGTCAGAAGGAGCAATTTGTATTATTTGTTCGGATGCACGGCGATTGATAGGGAGCTGACGACTTCATCAGATTCGGCTAGACTGTGGCGTTGTTTGATGCTGAGTTATTTGATTGGTAATGTCGTGTATAGGTTGTTGAGGAGTGCTTTGACCTGTAGATGGAAGTCCTTTGAGCACATTGGGATGAGCAAGACCGTGGTGGAGTTTAACACTTCTATCCATCATTCGAGGGGTTTTCTGAGGGATGTTCATTCAGGCATTTGGGGGCCTTCTAAGAGAGCATCATTGGGAGGTAATAGATATGTGGTTTCCGTAGTTGGGGATTGTTCTAGGAATTGGTGGGTTACAACCAAGTCCCGTTGGTGTGAAGTCCTAGAAGCCCGCAACAGATGGAGGAAGTATGTTGGTAGAAAGGTAACTCAACGTTCTGATTATGGTAGAGGTTCTTTCTTGCATTTGTGTTGAGCTCACGACAATAGGAGACACTTCATTGGTGTGGAAACTTTGAGGCGACGTGATGAGATGGAAGATTTGGGGAGTTGTTCCTTTCTGGAGGAGGATAGACATTTGATGTCGAGCATTGGCATTGGTTTTAGAGCTTCGACATATTTGGGTCATCTCAGCCATAGGTTGCCGACTGTTGCATGTAGAGATATGGGATCTGGTGGAGCTGTTTCAGATTTTGGGTTACGTCGGATGTTTGGCTACCCGGCATTTTGGTCACATCGTGGATGTGAGATTTGATCCGATAGCACATTTGGGAGTCAGAGGTATGTTTGATTATCAGGTATTGGCTTCTGACTTTGTTCTGAGCAGGTATGTCACTTTTGACTCTCGGCAGGTGGAGAGTGGTGATCAGATCAGTTGGACATTGCAGCGAGTGAAGGGTGATGCTACTCCATATTGGGTGGATATTATTCTACATACTCCAGATCATACTGTATCATTTGGGATTCTAGCTAATGTGAAACAGATTAGGAATCGTGTTGATTTGGATGCAGATGATAGGTTGATTGATTCGAGTGCAGCTGATAGATGTAGTCTGGATATGGCCATTGGTTCATCTCAGGTGGAGATGTTTGGATTGTTTCAGTTTGGGGCCATTGGAGGTGCTATCAGCCGTAGACTTGATCGTGATGTTAGAGAAGGGTTGCGAACTCTTCTAGTGGATTGAGGCTTTTGGAGGCCGTTTTGGTGAACTACATGAAGGCTTGATTCCTTGGGCAATAGGATATGTAGGTAGTCATTTATGATGCAGCCGGTTTGGTGAGTTGATACCGATATTTAGAGTTTGTTCGCATTCTCGTTTGGGTTCTCGACTTGTTGTGGATTGAGTCCGTTGTCGTGGATTTGTTCCACTTCGTACTGGACGCAACAAGTGAGACGTTTGGTTGGTATTGATGTCGGCTCAGTTTTGGATAAACTTCACCGAGGTGGAGAATTGTTGGATAGCGGATTCCTAATCTATTTTGGTAACATGAGGTTATTAGAATTCCTAATCTATTTTGGTAATAGGTTATTAGGATTCCTAATTTGTTTTGGCTTTTGGTTTAGAATTCCTAGTACGTTTATGATTTTAGGATTTCTATATATATGGAACAATTGGAAGAGAGAATAGAGAAGCAAATTGTGGATATTTGGAGCACAGAAAAGAGGTATTTTCTGAGCTATTTGTTTAGGGTTTTGTTTAGAGAGATTAAGAGCTTGTTGGTGAGATTAGTTTGTTCCTTCGAGTGATTTGTAATCTCAGTTTGTACTCTTTCTCTATTAGTGAAAACTCCATCCCCTTCTTGCCCCGTGGACGTAGGCAACTTGCCGAACCACGTAAATCTCTTGTGTTATTTGGTGATTATGCTTGTTTATTTGGTTGTGATCTCTCTTGTTTGGATTGTGTGATTCGACCGCTTCCGCGCCATGCACAACAACTAATTTAACAGAAAATGTAACGTAATTTGGACAAGGGCGTCAAAATGAAATGATATTAAAACTTTGGAGTGTCAAAATGTTGAAATAATACTTTGGCCCCGTTTGGCAAAGGGTTAAGGAAGAATGGTTAAAGAGAATGATTAATGTACTTAGCTCATTCGATAATCTGAAAGACTAAATTATTAACCCGTTAAATAAGTTTTATTTTAGCCATTGTGATCAGTTTTAGTGTTTGGGAATAACAATGATTTTGATTATTTTATTTATAATTAGAATGGTTAACTTTTAATCATTCTAAATAGGAGTATAAGTAAACCCATCATTTTGAGGGGTTAACTCATTTTAATCCCTCTAGAGGGGTTAGCTTAAACCTTCTATATTTTTTTATGTTTGACAAATTATGAAGAGTTAACTCACTTTAACCCTTGTATAGATTTTTTGTATTTGGCGGGTTAAGAATGGGTTATAAGTCTCATTAACCCTTCACTTAACCATTTGCAAACAGAACCTGAAATATCAAAATGAACTTGGATTCGAAATTTGGGATGCTAACGTGTTTAATAATAACTCCTGGGTATCAAAATGAGAAAAAGAAGTAAAGCTTTGTCGTACCAAAAATGCAACAAGCCTATTTTAAAATAAGTTTTTTATTTTTTTAAAATCAGGATGGAGCTTCATCTTAAGTCTCAAATATGAAACTCCATCCTATACTATTTCATTTTCAGCATATGGTTATTCTTACAAGCAGAGTTTTACATCCCCATCACCGCAAAAGATGTAAACTGCACCCTTAAAATAAGTACTTACTGGTTATTACCCGTGCAATACATGTGATTAAATTAAGATTCTTATATGTATATTAGACTTATTAATGGTAAAGAGAATAAAAATAAGATGTTTTTGTAAAGAGAAAATAAAATAAATGATTTATAAGAAATTGAAATTGAAAGACAGGAAACTGGAATTTTCAAGTGAGAATGGTAGTGGATTAAGATGAGATGGTGGGGGAAAAAGAATTAGCCAACAGCTTCGGTGCTCCATGACATCTTCTGTAAATAGAAAAGCCTAAAATCTAGCTCTCTAATCCACAATTTAAGGGATTATGCGGTTGATAGGTCTTCCACACCTACATTTGTAAGGTTGAACTTAGAGGGTAGTTTTGGAGTTGAAAACATCATAGAAAAGGATAAAACTAATATTTGAGAAGGGTTAGTTTTCTTCAACTAATTTCTCACTTGATCTTTAACAAAATCTAATTTGGTCGTATTCTATCATATTAGATTTCTCTCTTCTATTTTTCCTTCCATATTTATGACAAAAAAACTGGTATTATAAAGCAAAGTTGTGTTTAAAATAGATATTATTGTTCTTACTTTTAGTCATATTGTATAAAATTATGCATATCATGCATATGTCAATTCCTTTCTTATATCATTATAAAGAGGAATAAAATTAACCGTCGATTGTAAAATTACACTTTTATTTATATTTTCACTGAATTTTCTTTTTCCTTTTTTTGGTTTTGAAAATTATACTTTAATTTTTTGAACATGAAAACAATTCGTTTTTATTGATAAAATTATTGTGGTCTTTCAAAAGTATGAGGACCTATCTACAAAATTCCTTTTCCAAACAATTTGTTTTTAGCATTAAAAACATTTAAAGAGGAATAAAATTAACCGTCGATTGTAAAATTACACTTTTATTTATATTTTCACTGAAAAGATTTGGAACTAAGTCAAAGGATCTTTCTACATACTAACATTAACAATTTGATAACTCATATACGAGAAAATATTCATTTAGAAATAAGTGTAATAAATTGTATTGATTTATATTCTTTTGTACATTGAAAAATCAAAATCTAAAAATTACACTATTATATGTTTGTTTAAACATGTATATAAGCTCCAAATTAGGCTAAACTAAATTATCAATTTTAACTAAATCTAAAATGTATACCATGTGTATTGCACGTGTGCAATTCACCTAGTAAACGTGAAACAAGGAAGGTGGGTGAAGTGGTTATGGACAGAGAAATAATAGGATAGGAATTGAAAAGAAAATGATAAATGCATCCTTGTTATTTTCAGCCCAAAATTTTAATTTTCCATCCATTTAAAAATTATAAAAATTCTTATTTTCGGAGTCGGTCGCCCGCCACGGTCGACCGAGAGCTTCCTTCGGTCGACCGCACCGGTCGACCGGACAAGTCTCTGCTTGTTTTTCTTATTTCTGATCTGGTTAGCGGTAGACCAAATTTTCTGTCGGTCGACCGAACATTTCCAACGGTCGACCGGAATTTCCGCCGGTCGACCGCCGTATTATTTCAACGGTAATTTCTGTGCTTATTCGGCGCCGCTCAGTACAGATCTCAGCGACGTTTTTGTTCTAGATTTTGGGGGATTTAGGTATGGGTTTAAACAGCTGTTTTTCTCCTATTTAAACTCCATCTCTTCTTCTTCCTCTCCGTCCCAGCTTTTGCAAAAACCAGTGACGCTGTTTTTCTCAGAGCTTATATTTTCAAAACCTGTTTTCACTTATTTTCAGCCCAAAATTTTAATTTTCCATCCATTTAAAAATTATAAAAATTCTTATTTTCGGAGCACCATGCTTAGTATGATATATTGATATTTTAACTAGCTGAAAATGTCATGAGTTGCTCCAATGAAGTCCTTGAGATCAAAAGCAATTATTTTTAACCCATATTAGGCTTAACAGTTAACACCATTGATATATACTCTCTGATATATTGATATTTTAACTAGCTGTAAAATGTCATGAGTTGCTCCAATGAAGTCCTTCAGATCACAAGCAATTTTTTTAACCCATATTAGGCTTAACACCATTATTATATTCTCTCTCTCTCTCTCTCTCTCTTGAACATTCTATCATCCCACTTAACACATTACCAAAATGCTTTAAGTAATTTCTCCACTCATTCCACGTGTTCTTCTCCTCTCTCAAGTTTCTTTAATATTTGTTGTTGAAGCTTTGTCTTTGTTTGCAATAATTTCTAGTTTCAAATACATCAAGTTCATACAAGTATAATTTTTGTGAGAACGGTGTGAATAAAATATGTGTGTTGCCTGTTACGTACAACTACGGGGTTGTAATTTGTGACATTTTGAGCCAGTAGTTGCGATCATTAATAAGTACACTTGCAACTGCAATTGTAAAAAAACCTTCGAGATATGTCTGACGACTTGGACAAACTCAAGTAATAATAAGCCACAGTTGCAACTTCAAAAAAGTAGAAAATAAAGGATTAATTGTAATTTCTACTGCAATCAACTCCAAAGAAAATTTCAAAAACATTGATATCAAACGTACATGCTACTCCAATTACAGTTACAATTTGCAAGGATAAAAATAAACTCATCAATCAGAACAATTAAATGTGACAACAGTTATAATAATTACGGGTTGCAATTGCATGTGACAGTAGTCATAGCAGCTACAGTGACATGCAACTTTTTTTTTTTTTTGCAATTAAATTTAGCCAACCAAAGAGTGCCTAAATAGAGAACAAGGATGATGCACCATATAGATGCATGAAATACACAAAGTATGATGACAATGATCCATAGTAAAAGACAAAATTTCCAAAGTTGAAAAGGATTCATGCGGCTAGTAGCTAGTGGTTCTCGCAAGAGCTAAAAGAAACTTTTTTTGTTCTTCCTTTTTTTTCTTTTTTCCCTGGTCACTAATTGATATAGACAAATGTGGCCATCGTGGGCCAGGCGTTAATTGTATATGGCCCAACATTGCTCGCTTTTCTTTGGAAAATACAACTTCTTTTGTCCCCCCACACCAGGTGGTTGGAGGACATTAGTCCCTTGAATCTGGTTAATGAACCCAAAACTAAGCTATTGTGTCTCATTATTTGATAGGGGTGTATCTTCTCTTCGAAACTTAGCGATCCTCATGGGAACTTGAGGATAGATTATTCTCATGTTAACTTGAGAATAGAGGTGTAAAACAGCACAATGGAACGCAGGTTGAAACGTGGAACGAGACGGCGAATCAAAGAATGGAAGCATCCAGTTTTCAACCCGTGAGTCGACTCATAATAGTCATGAGTCGACTCATCAGGTTGAGTCGACTCATGCTTGTCATAAGTCGACTCATAAAACTCAGTCGTTTTGTCAAAAGTCTCTGACCAGTCGACTCATCACTATATGAGTCGACCCATGTGTCATGACTCGACTCATATGTGCACATGAGTCGACTCATCGAAGGATTCCTGGTTCGTTTGGGTTTCTGTTTGCACAAATTCCTGTGGGGTTTAGGCTTGGTTATTTACCACTTTGTCATCCACGTTGTTACACATATATAAGGGATTGTTTTAGGGTTTCTAAAGGAATCAGATGTAAAAAAAAAGAGATGTTAATCAAGAGAGATTGAGGTTTAGAGAGAATTGAGAGTTTGTTCTCGATTCTAGTGAGATTGTGAGAGAGGGGTTGTAATCTTTTCATACTCATAATCTAGAGAGAGTATTTTTCTTCGCCACTACTGAATTGTTCTTGTGTTTCTGTCATCATTTTCTCAACCCATCTTTGATAATTCCGCGATCAAAGGTGTTTGCACGACGACTCGTGGGCCAGGCATTAATTGTATATGGCCCAACATTGCTCGCTTTTCTTTGGAAAATACAACTTCTTTTGTCCCCCCACACCAGGTGGTTGGAGGACATTAGACCCTTGAATCTGGTTAATGAATTCAAAACTAAGCTATTGTGTCTCATTATTGGATATGAAAATGGATTAGATATAACTTTTGTGTACGCTCATGATAAAGTCCTTGTTTTTTTCTTGGAATTCATATTCATATTCAGTTTGAAGTAGCGGATACACATTAGATTCACATTGGGATGTTTACGTACTTTTCTTTGATATACAGTTGAGTTCAAGAGCCTTTTTTTAAAAAAAAATATGGTTCTAAATATGGATTTCATAGATGAGTTTAAAATATAACTTTCATAATACTTATATAATAAATATGATTTTTTTTTTTAAAATCCGCTCTCCTACTAAAGGTTAGCTTCCTCATTACAAATATCTATAATGAGGTATTTATCAATACCTTATTAAGCTAATCCTTAGATTGAATGGAGATTAGAAAGTGCGGAACAATTTACAAGTATAGCGACTCATTCCCACAGCTAGTATATATGAAGAATCTCAATCAAACTAGCGACAAAATGAAAGATAATTACAATTGCCCACCAGCATCCCTTGCACGCTTTAATTCTAATTAATCATGATATTGTATTGTATAACCAAATGAATCATTGCGCATTAGGTCACCCAACAGAAGTATAATAATTAGTTTCTGCTGCCAGTTGCTCATTCATTTGGACTTCATAATCATTCAAAGAATAAAACAAAGATTAGTTCAACAGCTTAGGAGCAAAGATAAGACATACTAATGTTCTTGAAGGTCATCTTCATTGACTTCCAAGCATTTTTCACGCGCAAATAAAGCTTTTTTTTTTAAATGGGTCAGCTTTGGAGTACAACTCATGGACATTTTCAACATTTGGTGACCCATTAATATGAAATAAACATTTTTAGACTGTTATTCATGCATTGAAAACTTCTGCTGTATTTTTATGATTAATTTCCAAGCTGACATCAATAGACTAGAGCCCTTGCAAAGACTTCAAACCAAATAGTAGATTGATATAATAAAATTCATGGAACTTTCAATTGAAGAGTACCAAATAATAATGCAGAAATAAAACATTAAACTCAATACTAAGTCCAATCCGTGGTCAACCACACCAAAGACGAATCGATTATGTATACATACACTATTCCAAAAACTGATTATGGAATTTGAACTCTACAAAAGTATGCAAAACGAATCTTATGAGGATCCATAAAATTCTTATAGGATGTTTGCATGGGAGCACTCGAAACAAAAACCATTTGGCAGTCGCAAATAATATAAGGGGAAAAAACACTGCCAAACTCATGATCACAGAAGAAATGCATTTTATTAGTGACGATTATCACACGTCGAAACAACATAATCATGTTCATACATAATACTTATAATATAGTTAAGACAGATCTCTCATTAATCCATTCTCAGCTCTGCAGAGGAACTCTGCACATTTCAAATGCATCATCGTTTCCGCAGCTGGCGTTAGATTCAAGCGAGGCCCTTCTCCAGCAAAAATGCAGCATATTCAGAGGCATAGATCCATGAGGAATTAATAGAGAATTCACTCTACAAAAAAATTGATGAGTCGCGGGTTAATGATTGGTTATCTTGTTTAAATTCTCCCCACAAGTGTAAGTGAAATGGTTGCAGCTCCCTCAGCTGCATAATCGAACAGTACATGCCACTGCTTGAGCCCAATATTTTAGCCTTGCTTTAACATCTTCAGGATGGTCCCCTGTATGCACAAAAAAGTAACTGGTTAGATAGCCGATCAAAAAGTCTCGAAAATTTGCAATTCAAACTTAGAAAAGATGCATACGAAAGCTAAGGCCATATATATCATAAAGCATGGATAAGCAAGAATACTCATGGCTATCAAGAGTGCAGATTGTTGGGCAAGAAACACAGAATGGGGTTAGTTGAAATACAAGCTTTCGTAAACATGATCCAGATCGAAATAGCTTCTAAAATAATATTCTTATAGAGATGGGTCATTTGGGAGTCATCGTAATGTTATCATAAGGTAATATTGAACCATAACTTCAAAAAAATTTGTTCTCGTTGAGATGGATCATTTGGGAGTCATCACATTGTTATCAGAAATATTAGCTTCTAATTAATAAGGGCATAGATAGTGTGTGTGTGTGTATTGGAGTTTCACGTAATTCGATATTGTAATATAAGTTGAAGAAAAAAAATTTAGAAACTGAAAAAAATACAAGAATTCATTACAAGAAATGGTTGGGTTTTCAGATAGAAGATCAAAGTCCTTGTTTGTCAATTACGCATCGACATCTCCACCCAATTCTGTTGTGATCCTAGTCTCTTAAGTAAACAACTCTTTATCAATTACAATTTTACCCCTGTTCTTTTTATTCAAACAAATCAACTAAAATCTATAGGTGAAGCAGAGTTATTCACTCTAATTCTGTTAGTATATAAACAAATTGCATCCCATCTCATCCAGTTCCATTAAAAGCTTCTCAAAAGGAGTTTCTTTTTGATAATTTCTTTGTTTCATATCAAATCAGAGAGTTATGCAATAAACATGTAAAAAGCAACAACAAGACCCTTCTTTTTGTGGAATTTTTACATTTCAAGTAAAAATTCACCCTTAAAAACTAAATAGAACAAGTAATCAAAATCTTCCAAGTTCCTCCTTGCTAAATTACTATGAAATTAATAAACTTATCAATTTCGTAAAAAATGAAAGAAAATGCCCTGTAGATCTAAACTGTGTTTGCTGCACAAACTTTCAATTGAGATCTACTGCCAAATCAGCAACTTATCTACTTCTAACTATAAAAATCCAATCTTTTCTTCAAATTGCAAGTAAAAGCCATAAAACTAATCGAAGATTCGAAATCTCACCAGGACTCGAGATCTTCCAATTAGCAATGGGAGCACCCGAACTCGCAATCGACGCGCCCCCCGCTGCCGCTGCCGCCTCATCCGCCGCCGGGCGCTGTTCATCCAAATACTTCTGACTCATCGAGTAACACAACTCAAGCGCCGGCAAAGTGTTGCAAAGCTCAGGGATCTCCTCGTAACTGAACCCAAACCCTAGATCCAAGCACCCCTTCAGCTCCTCGAGATCCTCATCGGTCAAGCTCTTCGTTCTGCCAACGGACTCGCCACCGTCGGATCCCTGATCGCCTCCGTATCCGGAGGCCTCCACGTAACCCTCCAGCATCACGCCGCTGCTCCGCCGCGGCCACGACGGCGACGATTCGAGCTCGGAGTCCGACGATTTTGATCTCTGGATCTTCTTCTTCGGGAATCTAGGGTTAGGGCTTGAGATTGGAGAGCTTGGCGCTGAAGATGATGGATAAGAGCGAGAGATTTCTCCCATTGTTCTTTTTCCCCCTCAAATTTTTTTGGGATTTTTTTTTTTTTGTGATTATTTTTGCCCCTCTCTGTTGGTTTGTTTAGAGAGAGGAGGGGGGCTTTTATATGAGAGAGAGAGGTGTGGAGCCCTAGGAAACCTCTATTATTTTATTATTTTTTATGGTTAATGATTGTGCTGATTATGGTATGTGAGGCTCAATGACAGATCATGATGTATGTATGTTCTGATGGATGTCATGGTTATTTTGTGATTTAAACCTTTTACATTTTATCATTTATTATGAGTTATGATTGTAGATTTCGCAAAATAAAACGAAAATATTGGAGCTTGGAAGCTTGTAAATATGCAATTTTCCAAATGCTTCTTTTAAAAAATATCACAAATTGTATTGTATGTGTTACATACAAAGATAAAGTTTTAGTTGCGCATAAAAATTGATGGATATAACAATTTATAGGTGATGCTTTGGAATGTCAAAATACTTGTTAAATAATTACAGTTAAAGTTTAAATGCATACAGAAGCCTGAGTTGTATCATTATCAATCTTAACCATAATTAGTGGATGTTATCATTAATATTCATTAGTGAGTTTGGTTTATAATTTTTTCAATAAGGCTGATTTCCAATAATTGACTAATGCATTAATGGAAAAGATGCTCCTTAATTTCTTTTTTTAATTAATATGGTATTACACTTGTTAAAATAAGGTGTGTACTCCTCAGTTTCAGTAATTCCATAAAAAATTTAAAATCTGGATATATGATTTGAAATAAAAAAAAAATTAATGGATCAGCTAGTGAGCAGTAGATTTGAATCATCCATAAATTCAATGTATTCTTAAAAATATATAAATTGATCATGTAATATAAGCAATCCATTGTCATGCATATTTATGACACACCTAATTTATCCTTTGCTAATTTTACATGAGAAATCCAAACATTTTAACATATAAAATATGAACCAATTAAAACCAAGTTAATAAATAAATTATAAGGACGCGTATGCCAAAAAAAAGCTAAATAACACTTAAATACCTTATAGTTTCACTCGTTAAGCACTTTTATACTCTCAATTATACTTTATAACATTTATGTACCATTAGTTGGTCAAAATTGGCACTTTTGTACCTTATAATTCGCAAACGTAAAAATTTTTTATTCAAAAGTTCTCATATAACATTCATATGTTAATTTTGAAGCTTTCTAACCATTAATATTTATTAAATTACTATTAAACCAACCCAAAGTCTAGTTTTAATTTTTAAATGCATCATAATTCTATTTAAAAAATATAATTTTAAAAGATCTAACAATGAATTCAATAAAAAGTAATAGAGAAATAACTATAAGAATAGCATATAAATATTTTATGAGAATTTTTGAATAAAAATTGTCATGCTTGCGAAACATAAGATATCAAATATGTTAATTTTGACCAACTCATGATATATAAATAGCACGAAATATAACTGAGGGTATATAAGTGGCGATAGAGTGAAACTATAAGGTGTTTAAGTGCCATTTAGCCCAAACAAACAAACAATTGCGTGGGAATATCAAATTATGATGCTATTGAGGTGGACAGTGGGGCGCATTCAACTAGATGTGACGTGGACGGCACCAACTTGACACGTGGCTCGAGGATTGAAATTGCCCACCGCGGATACAAAGTTGATGCGGACAAGCAAGCCAATGATTGCTCCGCATTATTTATCATGTGGGGCACGTGGCCAACGGGTCGGGTACGATTTGGATCCGGGTTCGAATTAGACAGAAGTATTCGTCTCTTTGATCTGACCCGGCACTGATATAAGCTGGGCGGGAAAAATTAAGAAATATTTGCCGAGAGACGAACTATTATTTTATGTGCAACAACTAAGTTATGAGTCAATTTGTTTGTAAATTGATGGCAGAGTTGAATGGAATTAGTCTTGAGAGGAGACTTTAATTTTATTTGGACGGCCATTTTGAACGAAAATTAATATTTTTGGTGTCCATACATGGATCTGTAATGTAATTATCAGATACTTGTTCAATAAGGTTCTTCGAAATATTTATATAATTATAGGGATTTTCGTGAAGACTCATTGAATGGTAATGGAAGCAATGTACACACTGAACGATTGAATAGGTATTTCTTTTTATTAGAATATTAAAATCTCATCCTATTTGTCACATTAGGTTCTCTAATTTGTTTAGAGTGGAGGCATTATTTAAAGTGACTTAGGCCTCGTTTGGTACGTGGGAATGGGATGGAATGGAATGGAATAATCATTCTCACTTCTCATTCTTTCCTACCAAACAAACCCTCTTTTTTGAAGTTAGAATGTCCATTCTCACTTCTCATCAATTCCCACTTTATGTGGGAATGAGAATTCCTAATAAAATGATAGGGAATGGGCATTCTCACTTAAATAAAAATCAATAAAATATACAATTTTATAATACGTTCTTCCAACTTTATTTTATAACTTACACCCAAACGTGAGAATGAGAATGAGTACTATTCCATTCTCACATTAATTCCATTATATTCCTTTTTCTATTCCATTCTCATTTGAGTCCATTCTCGCGTACCAAACGAGGCAGTGTAATTGGAGCCCAATACAAAAGTTAGAGTAAAATTCAAAGTTTAATACGAGAAAAATTGCAAAAAATAAGCAATACCTGTCCTCATATGCTAGTATAAATTTTATCAACGCTACATATTAAACGTGAGTTATTCATGCATAATAAAGTAGAAGTACGAGTTGAATATTTCTATTATGCCTTTACAATTCAGAATGTTACGCATTCTGATCCTGCCCACAAATACGATTTTCTATACACAAAATCTGTTCATGAAAAATTAAAGTAACTTATAGCATGCAAATAAATCCGAGATAAAAAGAACAGGAAAACTGGTCTGATCGGATAGCAGTCGTGCAATTACTGCACTGTCTAAAAGATTGAGGATCCGTCTATCACCCTAAAACAGATGATCCCCTCTTTTCTTGTGGTAAAAAACTCCTCGGAAACGGCTGGCCTTTATACTCGGGTGAGAGTATAGAGCTTCTGCTCATATGAAGACGATTGCCCAATAAAACGTAAAGTGTAATAGAGATTTTTTTGAGAGAAAATTTTCGAAGGTAGAAGAGAGAGGATAAGTTTTTCCTTTTCATTGTTGTGTTTTCCGAATAAAGCCTTGGGCTGAGGGTTGAGAGTCTCATAGCCGTTTTAAAATCTCCGCAGCTGTTACGCACGTTCTCAAAATTCACGTAACCTGTTTCGCACGTTCTTAAAAACCCATGCGGTCGTTACGCACGTTTTCCACGTTTTTTAATTACCGAGTCAAAAAAACATGTAAAATAAAATTAAAAAAAATTCAAAAACATAACGGGCACGCACACGTGTGTTAGTTAAAGCCCAAACAAGTTGAAAGCTGAAAACATTCCCCTCTCGCAGACCCTCAAAGCCTAAAAAGAAGAGAACCAATTTAAACACCCACTTGTTCATTTCACTAAACAATATAGGACTATTCTTTAAGGTAAAATTAAATTGCTTTTTCTACTCTCCAAGCAGAACAAAATCAACATGGGACTTGTTCCTGTATATTAAAAAAAAAAGTTGTGATACCCACCCCTACACCCTATACTCAACCCTACACCCTAACCTAACGCTAAGCAGTCACAACGCTGAGTGTCAAAGTACCCTTGGACTTTCCAAAAAAAAAATGTACAGTCATTTCATTTTCATACTTTTCGGGCCACAAAATCTAAGGGCATGAGCTGGCACAAGGACACTTGCCACGTAACTCTTATATTCAATTGACACGTAGGCTCACAATTATCAAGGTCGCAGTTGCCTTACGTGTCAGCAACAAGGTGGTAGAGTTTAGGGACAACAGAAACAGTAACGTAAGATTAATGTCTGTGTGCGGACGAATAAATGGAGGAATTGGGTGTGACAGATGAGGACGCAAACTAGCTCTAGTCTTTGTATTAGTTCTCGCTTCGAGAGCTTTTTGTTTGCATGTGTACGAGTAATATGATGCAAGTTTGTATCTTATATTAAATTTTCAGTTTGTAAGGACATGAAAATTGGATAAAAAGTAAATTTTCCGTTTGAAATGAGCATAGTACTTATCCATATCTATTAAGAGTTCATCTAAATGAGCCATTGACAGGCAGAAGAGAACCAGCCAGACGTCGTAGTTGTCAATTTGGACACTTACTAGTATGTCACTATATCTCATGTCCTCGTCTACATGCATGCAAGTATGCTATACATGTGTATATATTGTTGTCGTAGTTATCAATTTGGACATTTACTAGTATGTCACTATATCTCATGTCCTCGCCTACATGCATGCATGTATGTGTTGTGCGTCTTTGCGGAAGCGTGCTCGCACACCAAACGACTTCGCGAATGACGGGAGAAGATAACCAAACCAAACACGAGCACGTTCCAATCCAAAATACGACAAATCAAATCAAACACAGAGATATACGTGGTTCGGTAATTCGCCTACGTCCACGGGGAGAGGATGAGGAGATTCCACTAAATCAGGGAGAGTACAAAGGTTACAATCTCACAAAATCACTCAAATAAACCCTAAACCAAAGCACTCTCCTTGCTCACAATATCTTTCTCTCACAATGCTCAGTACAATCTCAAATCTCTGTTAAAACTCTCCTCTCTTAACCCTAGAAACGAGTGTTTCGAATATATATCAAAACCCAATCAGAAACGGAGCAGGAAAAAAACAGCCCAATATCTGCTAAGCGGTCGACCGTTGAACCCCAAATCGCGGTCGACCATCAAAAGTCCAGAGACTTTTGTGTCTCTTGGGTTTGGGCACGGTAGACTACGCGGTCGACCACCAAACCCATCATAGTCGACCGTCAAAAGTCCAGAGGCATACTCCTATTTCGTGCACGTTTGCGGTCGACCGTAGTGCCATGCGTGGTCGACCGTGAAACCTACAGATTGTTCTCCTGCATTTTCTCCTGAACTTCGTCGTCATTTTACAGTATGCTATACATGTGTATATATTATTTGGAAGTAATCGAGTCCAATCTAGAATCAATGAGACTTAAT